GTTCTCCATCAGTAGAGGGCAGAAGGGGATCTAGGTTGGAGTGCCACAGAGCCACAGGGAACTTTATCACCTTCCGTCAGTGACAGCCCCAATCCCGGCCTGGCTGCAGGTGAGTCACTGACCCCCAACAGTTCCCTCATGGACAGGACAGAGCTCTCCCTGCCCTGTGCCACAATGTGCATCTCCATTTCGCAAGGGAGCCAAGCTAGTGAGCCTGAGCTGCCAAAGGGATCAGCTGGGAATGGATCCCACATATTCAGCTCCCAGGCCTCTTCCCTCCTGCCCCATATGACTCCTGTTATTCCCTGGTAAGAAGAATCACAATCCAGGTGATTCACAGAGAACCACATAACCCTGCCTGAGTGTAAGAAATGACTGAGCAAACAAAGCACTTGAGCCCTGCCTGTGATTTTCTGGCACACAGCTCACCAAGCCCTTTACAGGGGACACTGAGGTAATTTTTTAAGTTAGGAAACCAAGAAACAGAGAGACTAAACAAGCTGTCCAAGGTCACTCAGCATGTCAGAGACAGTCAGGAAGTGAATGGTGACCTTGTTTCTCCTTGCCCACTGGCCCACTAGTCCTCATGGCAGCCCCAAACTCCTCCCATTTTGAGGCAGGGTTTCTTTTAACCTTTGTAATTACACAGCGTGTCCCTGAAGGCTCCTTGTCCCCACCTGAGGAGGGACTCCCTTGGCTGATTTGAGATGCAGATTACAAGGCAGAGAGCTGGGCAGGCTGGAACACAGCTCTTGATGGGGAAAGCCAGTCCCTCGTCTTTCATCACCCACCTCTGAGCAGCAACACCACCAGCTTCCCTGTGGTGCTGCCTCAGAGGGTCCAGCTCTGCTCCTGCTGCCCTTGGACCACATCGAGGGTGCCACCTGCCACCTCTCCTCTCAGGCCTGCCCTGGACTTGGCCGCAAAATGATTTCAAGGCACCACAAAACTTACAATTTCTTTCACCATGTTCTGCTGCTCCTGCACCGTGGCTGTGACGGGTGGGAGGCCGTCGGCTTTACCAGACCCCTGCTCTTTAGAGTCCTTGACAAAATCCACCTGCAAGGTACAGATCTGGGTGTTACTCTGTAACCACGCCAGTGACAAACCTCCTGCCAGACTCTCCTGGGCCGAGCAGTTACCTCTGAGGACAGGCACACGTATCTGTTGAACATGAGGAAGAAGGGGCTGTACTTGGTGGCCGAGTTGACCGAGGTGCGGAAATGGAAGAGCACGGGGTCCAGGTGGGCATCCCACTCACTGGGCTTCTCGTTCACCATGTTGCAGATGGAGGACCTGAGCACCTCAGCACTGGGGTCATCCAGGCTGTCGGTGGGGTCTGCAGGGGTGAGGACCTGTGAGATGTTCCAGTGCTCGCACAGCTGCCGGCTGACCTGCAAAGGCAGGGCCAGGCCCGCCGGAGAACACGGCCCATCAGCACCACAGCAGCCTCCACAGCCCCCACGGCCCCCTCCCCATGCCAGGGGATGCTGCGCAGCACAAACAGCTCTCCAGAAAATTTAGAGCCGGAGAAAAGGTTTTGCAACGACTGTTTCTACACCTGAAGCTTTCCACAGCACTGTGAAGCTGGGTTAATCCCAGGGTAGGGCAGGATTTCATGCACATGGTCTCACAGGACCTTTCCTTCTCAGCAGAGAGGCTGGAGGTCTTGCACCACAAACCACTGCCTTAAATCCCTGCCAGGGTGAAAATCACCTGGCAAATCACCTCCCACTCCCAACAGGGCTGGGACAAGGATAAGGCACCATCAGCTCCTCACCCCCACTACATGGCACATTGCAACTCTGCCTTCAGGACCTGCTGCCCAAAAAACCTGCTGCAGGTCACGTGGCTTCTCCCTGAACCACCCAGCCCCTGACCTACCTCCTCACAGAAGTCCCAGCTCTGACTGGTGTAAATGTTCTTGGATGCACCAAACCTGAACAAGAAGAGGACACACAATTGGTTTTTTTCCATCAGCTGAGGCAGAGCCAGAGGATTTTGCTCTTCATGGATGCAAATGGGATATGAAAGGGACAGAGACCCTCCAGTGGGGCTGGTGCTAATGAGGCTGGCGTGACCCCACTTCCCCACGAGCAGAGAGGGGTCTGCTGGCTCCATCTGTTCCAAACCAGCCACGCCTGTTTGCCTTTGAATGACAGGGCAGCAGGAGAAGCAAGAGAAGTTTCTTGCTCTGAATGCAAATCTCCACTGGCCCCGTGAGTTTTCCACAAGGACAATGTCACGTGGTGGCATGTGCCGTGTGAATGCAAAATGAACACTTTCCAGGAGGGATGAGGGAATGGCTTTAAAGCTCCTGCAGAGAACTGGGGCACAGCTCTCTTGGCCTCAGGGCTACTTGGAGAGCCACTTCTGCTTCTTTCTCCCCTCCCTGTAACGAGGATAACAGGCTCTCCTATAAAGAGCAACTGAGAGGCACTGCATGGTCTCTCCTGTAGAAGGGGGAGTTCCTGCTCTCGTGGGGAAACATCTTGAGGACACTGAGTATTTTTTCAACACAGATCCCAGCGTTCCCCATCTCACTGCAGAAGTGCAATGTAACCAACAACAGAGGAGCCCACCTGTAAAAAATGGCAGCCAGGGCTTTAGCCACGGACAAGGGATCTTTCTTCTGCAGAGGAGCAGCCTCCACCCACTTGGTGAAGTAGTCAGTCACAAGGAGGACGTGTGTGTTGCTCTGACTCGTCTCGGGAAAAGGACCTGCGCAACCAACCATCCAAAAAATCAATGTGATGCCGTAATATCACCCAAATGGGCACAGTCAAAAACCCAGCCCAGCAAAACCGCTGCTGCAAAACCCACCACAACTCCCTTCTGCAATGTCATCTGGCCAGAACATTTGGGTGACCTTTGTCAGCAAAAATACACCCCATCAGAGCTTCAGTTCTGGGAAGTAACACACGCCCACAGCTCCCATTGTGTGTGGGGAGGGAGCCGAGCCAAGCACAGGGATCAGGTTGCACCCTGGCCTCCTTGGCACTTCCCCACAGGCAGCTCTCACTCCCGGCCTGTGGCAGCAGGTCTGCCACGCTCCTGGAGCCCTGGAGAGCCCGCCAGCCACACACACTCACCGTGAATGTCTAATCCCAGCACTTCCCAGGGAGATTCCACCCTGACGGGCCGCGCTTTCCGCGACACGTTCTTGTTGTGCTCGGCGTTCTGGCAGGTCTCACACATTTTGATCTGGAAAGGGAAAAGGCAGATCAAAAGGCTTGGGAATATGCTGATGGATTCTGTCAGACTCAGACTGCACGGATTATGAAGGGGTGAGACAGACAGCAGGGCTGAGCAGCTTCCCTCTACCCAATGAAAACAGTGAGGCACAGGAGAAAGAGGACGAAACACCACAGGCTGACACATCTCACCTCTCCCAAAACTCACCTGACAGCTTCCTCTGACACAATAACCAATTTTCTCAACGTGGCCTACAGCTAAGCTATTTCTCACCCTGTTTCCAGGCAGATATTTATTGCATTTTAACCTCCTACTGCTGGTTAGAAAAATCATCAGCCCAAGGATGCCGGAGGAGCTCAGACCATGTAATGCAACCACACTACTCCAAACCACACCGCTGCAGAGCCCTGCTGCAGGAGACTGTCAGCAACAGAACAGGTGAGGCAAAGCAGCTGAGCAGAGCCAGTGGAAACACTGAGATCCTCCCCTTACCATAGTTTAGAGAACTGGGCAGCTCTGGGAGCAATCCAAAGCTGGGCTCAGCAACTCGTCTGAAACAATCCCATGTTCCCATGCTGGCCAAAACTGCCCTGCACCAGGAGGCTTCCTGACGCTCAAGGAAAGACATCTAAACTATCCAGCTGCCTCGGGGCATTCCAAGATTCACCTGCAGAGTTACTCAGTTTGTGGTTTCAAAGCAGCAGGCACTAGAGATGACATCACCCCTGCACTCCTGGAGCTGCTTACTTAGGACTGCTGCCAGCACCGGTGTCACCGACACGGTCAGTGCTCTCAACTCACCCAGTCCACGACATCCTTCACAATCCCCAGCCAGTAGTACCGGCTCTGGATCCGGTGCACGGTCTTTTTCTGGCCCAGGTGGTTCCCGATTTCGGTGAAGTGGCTTTCCAGGAAGACCTGCCGCCTCCGCTCGGGATCCACGATCACCTCCCGCTTCTCCTCCTTCTTGGGCCCCACGTAGTAGAGACACCCACCTGTGGGCACCAGAGGTTTGTGTCCAACACCCCCCTCTCACGCCACTCCAGCTGCTCAGCCCCAGAAAAAGGCTCATTTTCCACAGTGGGAAACACGGGAAGAGAGACACAACCTCGGGGTTTTTTGCCTTGGGAGCTCCTGCAGCGCCCCTGGAGAAGCTGCTGACCTGGAAACACCCCTAAACAAGCCCAGGGAGAGCTTTTCTGCAGGCAGGGCTGCGCGAAATCCTCTGCTACAATAAAACCACTGCGGTCCCCACGGGGCACCGGTGCCACCCGCGGTGACACAACCCCCACTCTGCGCCCCAAAAATGAAGCTAAGGCACAGCAGGGGGGCGGCAGCGATGGTGACAGTGATGGAGGCAGTCATGGTGCATCCCACGGCTGCCAAGGAGCCACATCCCCTCCCCAGCCGCAGGTCCGGCGCATCCCTCCTCCCATGGCATCTTCCCAGCCCGATCCCTCGGGGGTATGCCACGGCCGAGGTGCCCCCCATCAGGGTCCCCACCGTCCACGACGAACTTCTGAGCGTAGCGCTTGAGGTTCTTCCTCTTGATGGAGCAGAAGCTGGGCGGGAAGCAGCCCTCGGCCAGCAGCCGGTAGATGTCCTCGAACTTGCTGCCGTGGCCGCAGGGCTCGGCCGCCACCACCACCTCCCGCTCGGCCTCGGGCAGCGCCGGGTCCATGGCCGGGCTGGTCCAGGACCGGGATCCGGGCCGGGGCCGGGGCCGCGCTGACCCCGCCGGGCGCGCCCCCGGGCGCGCCCCCGCCGGCCGGGGCGGGCGCTCCCAGGGACCGTCTGCAAACACCCCTTGGCGGCCCCGAGCGGGCCCGGCCGGCCCAGCGGGGAAGGGCCGTGCGGCCGCGGCGCCGCTGCGGAACCCACCCGCGGTGACGTCACGAAAAGCTCAAATGAAAAACAACAGCAAAAAGAAGGCACAAAACTGGGGAAAGAAACGGGTGCTTTTCGCCTCTCCCCGTTTTCCGCCCCGGTTGGGAATTTGTCGACGCGCCCTCGCGCGGGAGGAAGCGGAGCCGTTTTGAGGGCCGGACCCCGCGCGCGCAGCGCCGGCGGGAAACATGTCCGGGGCGCGGCCGTTCCTGGCGTGCGCCTGCTTCTTCACCGACAACATCTTCCTGGGCCGCTACGGGCTCCACGTGCGGTACCGGGACCGGCGGCAGCTCCGCCGGGAACACGGCCGGGTACCGCCGGGGGCGGGCGGGGCTGCCCCGGGAGCGCGGCCGGGAGGGTCTCCCCCGGGAGCGGGGTGGGCGGGTGGCCCTGCCCGGTGACACGGGCGGTAGCGGGTGACGGCGGTGTCCCGTGTGTTGCAGGCGCTACAGGAGCGCGGCTGCCGGAGCGAGGAGCAGTTCCAGGCTGTGCTGAGGGAGGTGAGCGCGGGGACCCCCCTTACACCTGCCGGGAGGGGGATTCGGGGCAAAGAAGAGTTTGGGTTGGAAGGGACCTTAAACGTCATCGAGTTCCACCCCCTGCCATGGGCAGGGACACCTCCCACTAGCCCAGCTTGCTCCAAGCCCTGTCCAACCTGGCCTTGGACACTTCCAGGGATGGGACAGCCACAGCTTCTCTGGGCAACCTGTGCCAGGGCCTCCCCACCCTCACAGGGAAGGATTTCTTTCTAATATCCCATCTAACCCAACTCTCTGTCAATGTAAAGCCATTCCCCTTTGTCCTCAAACTTCAGAGCCTTGTAAACAGTCTTTCTCCATTTTTCTTGTAGTTTGTTCGGGTATGGAAAATCCACAGTTAGGTCACCCCAGAGCTTCTCTTCTCCAGGCTGAACAATCCCAATTCTCTCAGCCTTTCCTCACAGCAGAGCTGCTCCAGCCCTCTGATCACCTTGGTTCCTCCTCTGGACTCTCTCCAACAGCTCCATGTCCTTCCAGTGCTGGGACCCCAGGGCCATTTCCACACCCCCCGGGGGTCCTGGGGCCGGGGTCAACCCTAAAGGGAGTTTGGGACTTGCTGAAGCCACAAGCCCAGACAGAATTGGGGCACAGCTCCCCAGCACCTCGTCCCAGTCAACTCCAGTGCTGGACAGAGGTCAGAGGAAAGAATTCTCCCCAGGCACTGCTGGGGAGCTGTTTACACAGCCAACACCCTGGAATTAAATACTGTCACCCAACACTTTGTCCCAGTGGCCTCTGTGCTGCTCCCTCCTTGGATTTAGTCAGTTGGCTCCCAGCCCCCTTCTAGTTTGCCTTTCCTTGTCCTTTCTTTTGCCAATTGTTTTTAAAGAGTGCCCTGAGATGGGATCACCCAGGGGTCCTACAGGTTCACACTCCCCCCAGGACACCCTTTATTAAAGAATCTGTGCCCCTTCCCAGGCCAGGGACAGAGATCTGTCACACAACCAGCTCTAATTTCACCTGGAGGACAGACAGGTTCCTTTAGGGATTTTTGGCAGAGTGATGATGGCAGTAAATCATAATTAAAGCTTTATGAACAGGATATTATGATTCATATAGCACAGAATTTATGAGTAGGACAGCACAGGATTTCTACAGGCAGAATCAATGCAGCACAACAAGCAGAATTTATAATACAACTTCTCTCAGGATTTCTAGATTCAAACTTTAGTTGTAATTTAATATCACCTAGATCCTAATAACTCCCTAGTCACCTGGACTCTGCAAATCTGCTAAGATCTTAATACCAAGGTTTGCTGTATCAATGTAAACATAACGTAGACTCAAAAATAATATAAAAGAATAGGATTTACTCACTCAGCCCTCAGAGGAGTATGTCTCCTGCCATCAGAGGTGTCCCTGACTGTGGGAAGTCATGGCTCTCACTGTCCAGCAGCTGTTCCAGTCGAAGGTTTCCACTTAGGACTTGTAACTGCCTGATTTTGTAGGCAGTGCTGGGGGCTGTTACAGTTCCCTGTTCCCTGTCAAGGTCACCAACAGCACCTGGTGACCAGGGGACTGGGCCCTTCAAGGCCAGCAAGGAAGGGAGTGATTGGCCTTGAGGCTGGGAAGGAGGAGGAGAAGGAATCTGTTTGGTTTGTCTGCTTGGTTCACAAGACCTTCAGGGCCTGATAATGAGGGAAAGGGAATGAATAGATGACCAGAGAATGGCTGCTCACCTCATAAAGTGCATTAGTGATGCTAACCAGGGGTCAGGAGGGAAACTGGTCACACCCTCCTTCCTTCTTTAGAGAGGAATGTTATAAATTAATCTTATGAAGGGGAATTAAACAGGAAGGGCTGGCTGAATCAGCTGCTAAAACAGCTGTTTGCTCTGAAAGGACAGATTAGCCTGTCTCCACCACACTTAGCAGTAATCCCTTCATGACAAGACTTGTCTCCCTCCCAGCAAGTGTCTTTATTTTGGACAATGCTTATATTGTCAGAACACAAGCCAAGGCTTTTAAAGCCTCCACTGACAATTCAGGAGGTGTCAGGATGCCTGAAAGGGCTGAAACCTCACAGCTCCACTTGGCACTTCCATAGAAAGGCTTCAGTTATTTTTTTTAAGCCATCTGTAAAGAGAAAGTCTCTCCAAACCCTCTCAGGCATTTGGCTTTTCAGATATTTATTGGACTTGTCTTGACTACAGAAAAACAAAAGCACAGACTCCACTTCCCAGAGGTGCCTGAAACAAAAATAACTGGTTTAAAACAATGAGCAAATTCCTGGAATTGTTTTAGTTGTCCCTTTTGATTTTCTCACAATATGCTCTGTTGTTTATTTGCAGATTGAGGCAGAAGTGCAGAGAAGAAAACAGTTAGTCCATCAGTCAGTGGAACGCAGAACCATCATCTCCAAGTGCTACAAACCAAAACACCCAGAGGTGTACACTCTGCAGGTACACAGTGTGTTTGGAGTCTCTTTTGCACCCAAGGAATTACCTGAGAGTTTATTTTTGCAGTTTATTTTTCTCTCTTCTCCTCGGGATCATGCAGTGCTAAAGCTGGACGGAATTTAAACCTGTGTGTGGCATATTAAAACTGAATTTAAAACTTTGACAGCACAGCATGTTCTCCAGGCAAGATTCCACCTGGTCTACAGCCAGGAAAGGGTCATTCCATATGGAAGCTGCTCCAGCACCTGGTACTGGACTTGAAATACCATTAGTAATTTAAACATAAAGCATCATTGCACCAAACAGGCTCGATCAGGTCTAATGAGGAGCCACAGAAAACAGCCTTTATGGGCTACTTTGCTTTGAATTTCCTCATGCTTGCCAGACTCAAGACTTCCCAGCTGGATAGTTCCCACAGATAGCAGTAATGCACAACCAAGTTCACACAGATTTACTGTGATCCTCCAGCAATAAGTGCTGCTGTTGTTTGTTATCATCAGTGTGGGGAAGTGCTCAAAGCAGAGCCCAGTCACTCTGTTGTGCTGATTCCATGACAAGAGGCTAAAATCCACTAGGAAAGATTTTGCACTTACCTGTTAGGAATCCATATTGTGAGCCAGGCTCTTTCCTGTCATGCCTATAAAAAATCTGGCCAGTTTTATGTAGAAACCCTCAAACTTACCTAAACCCCCAAGTAAAACACAGGAACATTCTGCAGTTCCTGCCGTAGAAGTAACCCCAGTGTGACTATCAGCCCTCTCCCTAGAGACTGCACATTTCCCTTGTGGCTCCCTGGAAATCCATTTCTCTCTGGGGTCATAAAAGGCTGTACTGGCTAATTGTGTTTCTGTATGTTTTTTTCCCCTCCTTCCCTTGCCACCAGGATTCCTTCCTGGCCCCAGATTTCCTGGAGATCGTGCGATACTGTACATCGCCGGGAGCTCATCTCCAGGGCCTCCTGGGCTACCTCGAGTCCTTCTCAGGTAAAGGAAACAACACCTCAGTCACACAGATCTCCCTCTGTGATGCTGCAGCTTCCCTGGTGACAGCTGTTCCCAAGCCCTGTCTCTAGTAGCTCGGATTTGACACAGGCTGAGGCAAACAGGATGTTATTCTCTGCCAGACAGGGGTCTCTGGAGGGGCAGTGCTGTGCAGCAGTTCTGCTCTGGAGCAGACACTCTTTTCTGCCTTCCCATCCCATCCCAGTCTGCTGATGTCTCACCAGAGGCTTCAGCTGCAGCAGGGCTGGGGCTTTTGGCTGTGCCACCACCTCACCAGGGAGCCTGAAGGAACACTGTTAGCCTGGGGAGCTTGTTTTTCCCTTCCCAAGTGCTTTGCCATTTCAGACAATCCCTGTGGGTTAGTCTGGGCTGAAATAATTTCAGTCTTCTAAAAAGAATTCTGGGTTTTAAGCTTCTCTGGAGGCATCTGTGAAGCTCTCTGCCTACCAGAAATGCTGACAAAATGTAGAGGGGAAGAGGCAAAGTTTCCTCCTTTTCTCAAGACGAAAAGAGAGACCCAAATGTGTCTGTGCAGAGCTCCTGAATTTGTCCAAGGCACGATTTCCAGCCTTCTCCTGCTGTCTTAATCTCAGCTTCTGTATCCTCAGTCCTGAGCTCCCCTCACACAGACCTTTAGGGCTCTACCCTGAGAGGCAGCTCAGACCTGGTATTCCCAGAAGGTTGGCACCAGATGAGTGAGTCCCACAGCCCCTAAATGACCTTGAGTGTCCTTCCAGCCTGCCTGTGATGAGTCGTTGATTCACCACCCTCCCTCCAGACTCAAAACACTTCCTTGGCACTACATCTGTCATTTAAACCAGTGCCAGATCTCCTGACTGGATGGGTGAGCCTGGAAACGAGGGACCAACATGAAAAATAACAAATACATCCTGGGGAATGGTTCCAGCCCTTCGAGCAGCCTGAGCACAAAGTGAAGCACGAGGGTCCTGTGCCCTCACTGCCACCAGCACAGTGGAGCTGGACAGGCAGGCAGGAACACTCACCTGTGATCTTCCCCAGCAAATGGTGTCTCCCTTCTCCTGACAGATAAGAGGATCTATCGACTCCCAGTGTTCACAGAGGAGTTCTGCCAGACCTTTGTGGATGAGCTGGAGAACTTTGAGCAGTCGGATATGCCCAAAGGCAGGCCCAACACCATGAATAACTACGGGGTAGGATTTGTCTCCTGTGCTTCTTTGGGGGAGTGTTCACTCTTCACCTCCTCACTTCTCCTTTCACTTCCAAAGTGTCTGTCATTTTACATAGAGCAGTTGGAGTTCCAGTACCCCCTTGGAGGGAAAGGGTTGAGGGAACGTTACACAGACAAAAGGACATGGGAATGCAGGGAAAGGGGATGGGAGTTGGTACCTCAGGGCAAAGAGCACCTTGTATTTTTAAGCAATACCCATTTAAATCAAGGAGTCAGTTTTTAAAGAACACTCACCTTTTGATCTTGCTCTGTCTTTCCCCCATCCCTTTCCACCTTGATCTTCCTCCTTTCTCCTGTAGCTGGAGCCTTTGCTCTAAAGTTCTTGCTCTGAGCCAGCAGCAGGGCTGGAGGAGGAGGACAGCTCTGATAATGTTGCTCAGCTGTTCCCACCTCCTCTCTTTGACACAGGTTTTACTGAACGAGCTTGGGATGGATGAGGGCTTCCTGACCCCCCTGAGGGAGCAGTTCCTGCGGCCCATCACGGCCCTGCTGTACCCTGAGCTGGGGGGATCCTGCCTGGACAGCCACAAAGCCTTTGTGGTCAAGTACTCCCTGCACGAGGACCTGGATCTGAGCTCCCACTATGACAATGCAGAAGTCACCTTAAATGTCTCACTGGGGAAAGACTTCACAGAAGGCAACTTGTACTTTGGGGATTTCTACAAGGTACTGAGCACATTCCCACTCTGGACCCCCATTCCATTCCCCTCTACCTCCTCATCCTTCCCCCTCCAGTTTCAAGGCATAAACTGTGTTCTAAAAAACAATTATTCACTTCTGACAGTCAGACCTGCTCTGTCCCTTCCCTCTTTTTTACATGTTTTGGTTATACAGAAGCCTTTTCTGTTCCAATATTCAGGTTTCAAAGAGAGCACAGAGGCAGCTTGTAGTAGAAGTTGGAGTAAACAAACCAGCCCATCTTTCCACAGCTGAAACAGTGAGCAGGGAGGTCCTGAGAGAGAGATTTATTTCAAATGAGACTTAAAGCTAAATCTGCAGCACCTGTTTCTAGGGCAAGAGAGGGTAATAGCTCTCATACACAGGTGGAACAGGTTGTTTTGATTGAAACTGGGAATGTCTTACTGGAAAACAGTCGTACCCATCTGCTGCCAAGTCACCATTGAAGTGTTTCAGAGGTGCAGTTTGTCCTCTCTATGTTGCTCCCTGGGGGAAAAGGTGATAAGTGTCAACTATGTGAGTGCTGTTCTGCCAGGTACTTTCTGGTGCAATTATGAATCCACCTCCCTTTGTTCCAGGATCCCAGTCCTGTGCCGAAGTACCTGGAGGTGGAACACGTGGGAGCCCAGGGGCTGCTCCACCGGGGAGGGCAGATCCATGGGGCGCTTCCCATCGGCTCTGGGGAGCGCTGGAACCTCATCGTGTGGATGAGATCATCCCTCATCCGAAACCAGCTCTGCCCCATGTGCAACAGCAAACCCCAGCTGGTGGAAGCAGAGGGATTTGGGGATGGGTTCACAGGAACCCTGGAAGAGGACGTGCCCGAGACTGTGGATGTCTGTGCCCTGTGGTAGGGGATGGGAAAACACAATTTCTGCAGACCACGTTGCCTAAAGCTCCTCTCTGACCTCTCAGACTGCACTAACAGACTCTGATAGATGCAGGAGTCCTGTAAGAAGTAGCTCTACCATGGAAAAGGATACAAAGCCAGCCCTGCCAGGGTTAGGGGAGCTTGGAGAGCTGGAACTCAGCTCACCAGGGCTCACTCTGGGGCTACAGGACTGTAAGACAGAGAAAGCCCCAACACTTTGGTGCACTACAGAGACTCAGTAAATATTTTCAGGTGTACAGGGAAAACACCCGAAGATCCTTGGCCTCTGTGCCAATAGCAGCATCCCAGGTCCTGCTGGAAATGGGAAGGAATGGTGATTAAAGCCCTACACTTACCACTCTCTGCTGTTCTCAGTGGCCTCCTGTCCTCTTCCAGGGGCAGGGGAAGAGCTTTTTATTGCTGAGTGACAGAGAAGGATCTGCTCAGAAACGAGATCCAGGTGATTCACAATAGGCTGCTGGGAATGGCAGGGAATTACTATCACTGGAGGTTTGCCTAGCCCAGGCTCAGAAGAATCCGTCAGGAGCAATAAATAGGGAGAGCTGATCCCACAGGGTGGCTGAGAGGATTTCCACAGGCTTCCACAAGCTCTTCTGAGCACAAATTTCCAGTAGGCAGAAACAGAGACAAAGCTCTGGGAGCGACCTGCAGCACAGCAAAACTTTACATTTAACTCCCTTTGCTTTAGCTATATGAGCAAGTGAAAATACAAAATAACTCTCCCAAGCTGGGTGCATCAGGCAGACCTGGGGCTTCTTAATTTGGCACCAACATCCCCCAACAGATGATGGATTAGGAGGGTCAAGTGCTTCCCCTGTCTTACTTCCAGCTGGCTGAAAGCTTGGGACTCTCGTGCCTACAAAACAAAGAAGCCAAATATGTTTTGATTTGGTGGCTGCATTTGCCTCTGTAGCAGATTAATTGTATATGATGTGCACAGAGACTGCTGGATTTGTAAGGGACTGTTTCATTCACCTGTTCCCTGCAGTAATTAGAGCACGTGGATAATCACATCGAGAACTGAGAAGGGCAGGGTGTTATTTTAAGCCCTCGCGAGGGACCCGCTGGATTTTTGGCTGGGGGTGCCATTGGCACACGGCTGATGAGCTGCTCGTTAGCAAAGCCCATTAAAATCGCACCTGGGCAAGGAAACCGGCTGCTGTATTTGTGCCTGGAGCCGATATCAAGAAACTCAGTCTCGAAGGTTTCACCTCTTTCAGCAGCGAACGCGCGCGCGCGCGCTCCCCGCCCGCCCGAATTCCCCCCAAAAATTGAGCTGCAGTGCGGTCCCAGCGCCCCCCGGAACCAAAGAGCGCGGCCCGGCTGCCGCCCGGCCCCGCGCGCGGCGGACGGCAGCGGGGGACGGCAGGCGCGGACCCTGCGGCGGGAGCGGGACCGGCCCGGCCCGGTGAGTCCGTCCGTCCGTCCCTCCGTCCGTCCGTCCTTCCCTCCCTCTTTCCCTCCCTGCCGCTCCTCGCGCCTGTACGGGGCTGGAGACTCCGGGGTGCTGTGGTGGACACAGCCCCCCGCGCTGCGGCGGCACCCGGGCCCAGGGGGGCCGATAAAGAGCCGCGCTCTTAAAGGGGCCGCGCCGTGAGCGTTTAAATCCTTAAAGGGCCAGAGCGCCTCTTGCTGAGCTCGTAAAGAGTCAGCGCGCCTTGCGCGGGTGCTTAAAGAATCACTGCGCCTTGTGCTGAGCTCTCAAAGGGCCAGCGCACCTTGTGGGGAGCTCTTAAAGGGCCAGTGCACCTCATGCTGAGCTCTTAAAGGGCCAGCACGCCTTGTATTTCCCAGGCTCCCCGTGCTGGGGCAGGAGGGCAGGGGCAGAGCAGAAGCCGGGCCGGGCAGAGCCGCGTGGGCAGGAGAAGCTGCCTCAAAGTGCCCCCATTCAGATAAGAGCCCAGCTTTGGGGCACAGAGAGCCTGAGGTGCTGTGGGATGGATTTGGGATTCGTCCCCTTCCCGCAGTATCGCCCTGCACTCACCGGGATGCTCCTGTCTGAGGTATTGCCATATCCATGGATCCAGCTGCTGGGGTTGGATAATGTGGGTCCTGCTGCCTCGAGTCCCAGACCCCATCCTGCACAAGGGGTCGAGGGAATGGCTGCTGGGTGTGTGTCCATGGAGGACTCTCACCCTCTGGACCTTCCCTGCCTGCCCTTAATTGTTTTGGTTTGTTTTTTTTCCTGACTGAAATTTCCCTTTGGAAATCAATCAAAATTCTGATTCCTTTGGGACCAAGTTGCTGCCTGGGAGCGTCAGGATGGTAAACAAACAATTAATTAGATGTGGTAGTTGGAAGGTGGCTGTGAGGAAGCATTTCCCAGCTCCTGCTCTGCCCACAGTGCCAGTTTGTTTTCTAAATTAATGGGAGCAGGAATCACTATGGCTCTGGCCTGTGGCTGCCAGGAACCCTCGGGCTGACGGACGGGGGTGCCAGCTCGGTGCATAATCTGTTTTCTAAAAGCAAATTGGAATATTAAAAATTCATTCTTCCCCTTGGCTTGTGCCTGCTCTCAGCATTTTAAATAATGGGGTGATTGACTCCGTGTTCAGCTTGGGAGGATGTTTAGTCCTGATGGCTGTGGCTGCAGCATCCATCATCCCTTCCCAGAGTCTGGCTGTGGTGCAGCGTCTTCCCAACGGCTCCCAGGGCTGTGGGGTGACTGTGGGGCACAGCAGGGCCTGCAAACACCAACCTCAGGCCCCTCAGTGCCTGCCCATAGCAGGGGTCAGCCTGATTCTCTGGGGATAAATAGGAAAAGTGGGGGGAAAACCCAATGGAGGGTTTTCCTAGTGGAAAACCTGCTTGGGGACAGGTTGTCTGAGGTGGAAAGGGCTGCCTGGGGACAGCAGTGCTGTCCCTGTGCTGGCTCTACCCCGAGGGCTCCATGTTGTGGGTTAGTGAAATTCCTTTTGGCTGTGGCTTCCTGAGGGGACCCTGACCCATCTCTCCAAGGGGATATCCAAGGGAGGGAGTTTGACAGGAGCAGGGCTGGTTGGCTCAGAGGTGGATTTAAGGTTTTTGGGGGTTGGTCCCCCCATGGCACTGATGTCCCTGTCCCCTCCAGGCTGACCATGGCCCACAGCCAGTCTCGGAAGCGGTCACGGAGCAGGAGCAAAAGCAGCTCTCGGAGCAGGCAGGAGAGGAAGGAGAAGAAAAGGAGGAAAAGCAGCAAGGACTCACAGCAGGGCAGCAGCTCTCCTCCAAGGAAGAGGAACGCTGGCTCTCATGGACACAAGTCGAGCTCGGCAGCAGCCAGGGAAGGTGGGGAAGGCCCATGACTCCATGTTTTTCCTGGGGTGGGTGCACAGAGGGGCCCAGATGGGAGAAGAAGGTCCCTGGGTTAAGCTAAATCGGTCTCTGTCACCTTGCCCTGCACTTTGTGCCCATTTTGGTCTCACTCTGACAAGTGCAGAGCCCTGCAGCCCCTCCACATGACAATCTGGCACTGCAGCACCACACACCATCATGTGGTAAAAGTGTTGGCACAGAAGGGTCTTCCAGGCAAGAAAAAAACCAGCCTGGGAGGGGGGTAATCAACATTGCTCTGCAGGGCCAGAGCTGCTCCACTCACCCTCTGCTTATGTATTGCAGAGAAGAAGAAGGAAGGAAAGGACAAAAAGAAGAGGAAGGCCAGTACCTCTTCCTCTGAGACAGCATCTTCATCCACCAGCTCTTCCTCGTCCTCCTCTTCCTCCAGCCCCTCTTCTGACGACTCCAGTGACAGTGACTCCAAAACAAAGAAGAGCCAACATGGCAAAAAAAAGCAAGTGAAACAAAAAGACAAGAAAAAGAAGAAGAAGAAGAAGAAGAAGAAATTAAAAAGGAAATTAAAAAAGAAGGCAAAGGAAAAGGCTAAGGAGGAGAAAGCCAAGGGAGAAGAGGTGCCTGGCCCCTCGCTGGAGCAGTGGCAGAAGGAATCAGTGGAGGACTCTGGGCCAGGTAATGACAGTGTTTCCCTCCTGGAAGCCTGTGCACACTGGAGTTGTGCTGATCCCTTCCTGGGACCCCGTGAGGTGTCTGAGAGAAGCAGGGCTGTGTACAGGGAGGAGCCCCAGGCTCTCTTCCCTCCTACATACTGTGACCACCTTTGAGCCATACCAGTAAATGTAGGAGCCACGCTGAGATGTTCTTTTGTGAAGTGTTCAGATGTAGTTCATAGGTGTGAGTGGGGAACAAAGATAGAAGGACAGAGTCAGCAGTAACATCCTGGCAGAGCTGGTCCTGCCTTTGGGATGTGAAGTGGCCCTTCCTTTGAGAGGTTCACCACCAATCCCCACCAGGAATCTGGTGTGGGACGTGTATCCATTGGCTGCAGCCGCAGGGCTGTGCCTGGATTTGGCCCTGGGAGCTGGCTCTGACTGACCAGTGCGTTCCAGTTTTGACAGATGAACAGAAATCCCGGATCCAGGCTATGAAGCCAATGACAAAGGAAGAATGGGACGCGAGGCAGAGTGTCATAAGGAGAGTCGTGGATCCCGAAACAGGGAGAACCAGGTATGATCCCTGGGGAGAAAGGAGGGGGGTTGTCCTTCCCTATCCGTGCTGTGTGGGTTGGAGTTCTGGAGAATGCCTGTCCATGGCACTGCAGTACCATGTGTGGACCCAGGTCCCCTTGAGCAGCAAAGGCTTGAGCTGACCCCTCACAGGTCCCCTCCTGTCACACCTGGTGTAACTTACCCAGAAAGTGACACCAAATTATCAAATTGTACTGGGGCTCCACACAAGGGACACTGGGCTGTGTCCTGGCATCCCACTGCTGCATCCACTCACCTTTCAGCTCCGGGTGCAAGTGAGGAAGGAGTGTGTGCCCTGTGGGGTTACAGACAACAATCAAACCCAAGTTCATTTAGCTGCCAAATAGAAATGACCCAGTTTTTAATAAACTGAGTCTTCTCAGCCAGCAGAAAACATCATGCTGAAGAGAATTGGGTATGACAAGTCCAGTCTTAAAATAGAAGGCAGCCTGCAGGGCTCAGGGAGGTGTGGAACAAAGGTCGGTTCCCTGTAAGGCACGTAATGAAGACAATTAAATTTCTGTTCGTGTTTGGAGGTGTGAGCTGCCTCCAACACTGCTTGGAATTTGCTTAGCAAGATGCTCCCCAGCCTGGCTGCATTTCAGGCCCAAACTGGCTCCTGTTTCTCAGTGGCTCTGCAGTTTCCTGGGGCAGCCAGGACCACACCTGAACTCTCTAAAAAAAGGAAAAGGCTTTGTAAGGGTTGGGGCACTGCTGTTGACAGTGAAGCCTGCAGATTTTTGGGGTGGCAGGAGATGCTTTTATTATGTGTTTTCTCATGGCAGTGTGACTGCACACAGTAGGCAGTGCCCACAGCCTGGGGCAGGGCTGGCTGGCCCATGCTGATTTCTCAGGGGACTGCACCTGTCCTTACTGTAGCATGGTGACATTAATCCCATGGGAGCAATGGAAAAGCCTGCTGTGCTATTTAAGCTTGATACAGCCAAAAAAATAAATCACATAATGCAATGTCAAGGGTAGGTCATCACTGGCTTTGCCTAGAGGTGCATCAGCCCAGCACCTGGTCCTGGGCTGTGAGGGAGCTGGGGGCTCAGGGTGGGGTGGGGGTCAGCACCTTCTGCAGCTGCAGGAACTTGCCAGTAGCTCTCAAGGCTCGTGGGCTTGTGCTTGTCTTCCAGGCTCATTAAGGGAGACGGAGAAGTTCTGGAAGAAATTGTCAGCAAGGAGAGACACAAGGAGATTAACAAGGTAGTGGGAACTGGCCACCAGCATGAGCTGCTGGGCACAGCCAAGGAGCTGCTGCACCCAGAGGTGGTGTATGTTCACCACGGGTGGTGCTGGTGGTCCTCCATCCTCAGACAATGCTGTGATCACCTGTGTCCCTTTGCAGCAAGCCACACGGGGGGATGGGCTGGCCTTCCAGGTGAGGACAGGGATGCTGCAGTGAGTGTGCACCAGCCAGGCCAGGAGCCCATCCTGTTGCCAGTGCCAGCTCAGGTAGGAGCCTCTGTCTCTGGACCACGCAGACAGCACCATGTCAACATGTTCCCCAGGGGCACTTTGCAGCTGCTCTGTAAGTTACTGACTGGGAAGGAGAGTGACTTTAGTGGTCCATCTCCCACCAAACAGCTTCTCCCCTCCCTCTCCCAGCTGAGGCCAGTGTGGCTGTAATGCACCTGAGCCCTCTATGCCCCAATGCACCTTTGGATGCTGGAGGAGCTCAGCAGCACCCAGGGGACAGGCTCGAGGGTGCTGAGCACCTCAAAGTGCTGCTGCCCCTCAGCTCCAGGCTTTGGTTGGCAGGAACCAACACTGTGGCCACAAAATACACAAATGGCTGCCACTTCTTCCCTTCAGGGGCTGCTTGTGGCCCCTTCCTTGCTGGATGTGGCTCATGGGCCCTTCAGGCTCACCAACCCTCCTGCTCAGAGAAGAGCAGCTGTGGCTCTGCTCAGGCTGCAGCTCTCCCCTGCACCCTTAAGTGTCACCCTCCACTGTGCCCCGGGTCTTTTCTCAGCTTTCCTGCAGCTTCATCTCTGGGGTGGCACTGGGGAGCACTGAGCTGGCACACTGCACTGGGATGTGTGCAGGTGTGCTTTGTGGAGGAGTGGCTTTACCTTGCTGTCTGCTCCTGCATGCAACTCATGTCCCTGCCCCACAGCACAGGCCCTGGGCAGCGTTGGGGCTCTGGACCTCTCAGCCCATGGCTGCTCTGAAGCAAACAGAGAAGCCTTTCCCCCACTGCAAAGTCCATAAATCTACAAACTGTAAAAAAGAAATGGAGAAAATGAGTTAAAGGACTAATAGGACTGATGTGCACGGAGGGTTTCCACGTTCTGATCATCGCTGTAACCCCATTAAACTGGCGCCTGCTCACGTCTCGGGTTTTGCGACTTGTCTGTCTCTAGTCTCCCCCCCAAAAAAAAGCAGACAGAGAAGAGCCTTCCCATTTCTTTAATCTGTGTAACTCACAATGATACTGTACACAAAGCACACCAGGCATTGGAACGATGCACTAACAGCAAGGAGGAGAAGGAAGTTGTACAGAAGGTTTGCCACACACAAGCGGGTCGTCGGCACGGTGACTGTACACACAGGGTCGGGCATCCCCTCCGGTGGCTCCCCACGCAGGGCTGGTACCCCTAAAGCCATTTTTTATAAATAAAATATAACTAACATTGTCGGAATATAAAATTGACAGTCGAGGGTATCAACAGGCAGAGGGGAGGGGACCGTAAGGCTTCTAGAACTAATAGGAAATGCAGCAAACAGTGGCGATACCTGAAGAAGGGGCTGCTACAGCAAGCACGGCGGCTGCTGGGCGGGTGGGAGGGTGTTGGTGACCCTTTGGCTCGTTACTGCTCACGATCCAACACTGTAAACTGTTTTTGGTATGAGAATTTCGCCTCATCTGACTTGAGTGATCTGAGCAAACCCGGGAAAACAGCTCGGAGGGAACGCACGGGCTCCTCTGACGGGTTTTAAAAGACTTTAAAGGGACAGCGTCAGGTAGAAAGTCTGGCCCGAGGGTGCAGGAATAGAAAAAGCTGCTTTTTATAAAAAATCTGAGCTCTGCAGCAGAGTTTGATTCCCATGGAAACGAAAAACCAACCCCAAAGCCCGAGGCAGCCTGTGTGGTGCAGGCTGTGTTGTGCTGTGTGCAGAACAGGACGTGGGCTGTGCCGGGGGCTGCCCAGACAACAGCCGAGGGAGGAGCACGAGAAACTTCATATTCTTTTCATTTCCAAGCAAACAAGTTATTGGTAGCAAAGATAAATTAGGTCTTTAACCTGACAGTGCCCCTTTAGTAAGGATGGAATATACATTCATCTTTTCCCTCACCGCATCCCAACGGATCCTCTTCCATACACGTGGAAAGGCATCGGGTCACATGCATTGCTCTCCAAAACAGCTCGGAACAAACAGGTTATAAACACAGAGTTAAACTATTGCTATTGTTCTGTGAGTGAGTAGCACGTTGATCTTTGCTTCGGAGGGATGAGTGCCAGATGGGGGCGGCTGAGGACAGAGCGATGGAGACAGGGATGGACTGAAAAGGTGAAGAAAAACTTATTGGCATTTTTCCTGGTAACTACACCCACCTCCTCTGGTATTATTGCAGCAATAAAGGTCCAGCTCTACAATTGCTTCTCCGTGTTGGATCTGTACAATGGCAACAGATGGGGGGCCAGGGAAAGGACCCGGGCAAGGTTCAAGAAGCTCAACAAAGGATGAGGACGGAGGTGTTATGATTGTCAGGTTAACTGGGTAGTAGTTGTTTAAAACATGAAGTGATGGAGAGGTGAGTATCATATTGCACTTCTGCATTCATTGACAGTTACATTAAACTTGGTCCATAAAATAATTGCTTTGTACATAATGCCTGAAACAAAAAGCTACATTTTTAAATATTAATAAACCCTGAAGGTTCCAGTCCCTCCAGACAGTTTTTTCCCCTCTACATAAATAAATAACTTTCAGTTTTATATATCCACTTTTTATGTTGAACATTTACATTCGCCTCTGTTTTACACTATCTACACATAAGAAAATGTGAACATCTCATCAACACTGGAAAATGTACAGATCATGCCTTGGTTGTGGACTTGGAGGAAAGGTGATTTTTGCAAAGGCCATATCCAAATTTGCAGAAATGATTTAGTGATGTGGTTTGGTGACTTCACAGGATGGATTGTGGCTTGGCTTCCTACTCAGATGGCATCTGTTTGATAGAACATTTGACTAGCAAAAAGCTGGGACACTTCACATTGTTTTCGAACCCAGTAAGCTCTGGATGTACATTCGGAGAGAGCCAAGCTGAGCTGGCAGAAAGGGAAGTCAGTTTTCGGTAACAAAAGTCGTCAGGTACATTCTGTAATTGGATAATTATCAAAGAGAAGTGGTTACACATTTTGCAGCCGGGCTGCAAGACGTGGGGGACGCACTGGGCGGGCGGCAGTCGGGTTGGATCAGCACTGTCCCTCCTCTGCCTCCCTCGGGCCCTCCAGCACCACGAACAGAACACATGAGATCGACCTTGGGTGTCGGATGAGTTGGGATTTGCCTACCGTGGCCCAGAACCAGTGAGCAGAGCAGTGTTCACAGTGCTGTGTATCTCAGTGCGGCCGTCCTGCACTTCTTATTGAAACAGGTAATAAAATGAAGCAGCCAGTCTAAAAAATTCTTTGTTATAAATAAGATATTCATAAGTAGAAAGTGATATAAAGACAGGGAAGTGTGGTGGGGAAAAGCAGGGGTTACACGTAGTCAGGTAGGACTATAAAATCTCCACGTGAAGAGGGCCCCGGGACCCCCTGGTGTGAGTGCCCCTCCACCCCAGGAGCTGTGTGCAAGGAGGGAACCTTCACCGGCCCCAGGAGGGACAGGACTAAGGAGCTTTTTGGCAAGCCCTGGCTCTAGGCACTGTTCCCTGTCCCTGTCTCGGTGTCACCGGGTGCCAGCTCCCCTCTGCCACGCACCCCACCCGCCCACTCCAGCAGCACAAAACCATCACCTCAGGCACATCCACTGAGAAACACACCAGGAAAATTAAGATATGGCCTTTTAAGGTTGCCTGACATTGCTGGCACACTTCCTTACAGTCTCCTTACTGCTGGAAAAACTTCTGCACAGATTGTTTTTTTAAATATATACATATATATATGTGTGTGTGCATATACATATAGATATACACACACACCCTGGCTTAGCAATATTTCATTGTCATGCACTACAAACACTGGTGTAGCTACATGAGATGGTAACAGGTTTCCATTCTAAAAATCATCAGTGCAAAAAACAATGAGGTTTTACAGTTCAGTAACTACAGGTAAAAGAAGCGAGTCTAGTTCCCATGAAAGCTGCTACTGAACTTGGAGAGAACCTGGGAAGAAGAAAACGTCTCAGAGGTGGGTGTTGAGAGAGTCAGACCCTGCATTTGGATGAGAAGAACTGCAATGCAATCTAGCTGAGTGCCTTCAGCTGCTTCCAAATATACGGTGGTTACTGTTGGAAACAATATATAGCAAGACTATTTGGAGACTTTAACAGCAAATTAAGTGTCTGAGGTTTGTAACAGCTCAAACAAAATAGCTTGTATTCCTCTTTTAATAGGTCAACACATTAAATTCCATCAGCTTCTAAAAGGTCTCTTTAAAAAATAACAGTAATAACAATAACGACCCCGCTGTCTTGGGCATGAATCTGCCAACATTCTGCCTCTGCCAACAGCATTGATACAGCTTTAGCTTTGCACTGCACCAACTCCTTGAGAAAGCAGCTGCCCTCGGAGCTCTTTGTACAGATAAAGCTCTCGGTCGCTCTGCCTGGCACAGCCCACCATCAATCCCTCACTCAGGGCTGCCGTGTTATCGACCCCCAGCCTGCCCCGTGCCGGCAGAGCCCCTCAGTCTGACTCCTGGGACAGCCAAGGACAAGGTTCCCCAGCCCCACGCCCTGTTGTGTGGCTCTGAGGACAGCACTCGGTCGCGCGGATCGGAGCGATGGCTAACGAGGCGAGGAGGCACATATTTACAGTCACTAAACCTGGATAAGAGAAGGAGGCAGGAGAGAGCGCCATCTTGATCTGGAGACATCCCCCCCTGATTTCCAGCTGTTCCTTGGGCTCCTGCTGCACAAACCTGACGCTCTCGCTGCAAGGCCTGCACGTTCTGCGTGGGAAACATCCCATCTCTTCCCAGAACACCACGATGTTATTGGAGTAGCACCATATTTACCCTTCCAGCCTGAAACGGCGATCTCGTCCCTCTTTCCTTTTGTTTTCTCCTCTGGTGGCTGCAGCTGACAATCCTGGCTCTGGCCTGGCTACTTCTGCCCCAAGAGGCCAGACTCCAGCCGGGACGCGGCGCTCCGGCCCCAGCACCCCGTGGCGATGCTCATGCTCCGCTGGCTGCGCTCCCTGTCCCTCTCCTTGTCGCTGTCAGACTGGCTCTGGGTGCGCTCGGGGCGGTGGCCGCCGGCCGAAGGCTGGGAGGAGATGGTGCGGAGCAGGTGGTTCCTCTTGCGCAGGAACTCGGCCTGGCTGGGCAGCCCGAAGCTGCCCTTGCGCAGGGCCATGCGCGTGGTGTTCTTGGCGGGGCGCGCGCGGTGGTTGTACTCCAGCTGCGCCAGGTGGGCCGCGTAACCCTCCGTGATGAACTGCAGGGCGAGAGGGGTCAGGGTACGGGTTAGAGGGATGGGACACGTTGCCCTGAGAGCCACTGGCCACCGAACGTGTTTGGTGTGATAGGTTCTCTCAGTCCCATGTGGTCCAGCTATGCGGGACAGCTCCCGTTCTGTTGGCGAACACAGCTCAGCCACCAGTCTTGAGATGACCAAATTCCCATCTCCCTCCCATGGGAGGCCCTTGGGCTCAGACAAGCCCCCTCCTACCTGACACTGGCTCTGCAGCTTCTTGGTGGGTCGGCCAACGATGTAGATGTGCGTGGGCGGGAGGCTGATGGAGCTGTACACAGAGATGTCCTTTGTGGATCCGTACGCCGCATGGATCCTCATGTGGAGCTGTGGGGAGGGAAAGCAACACGCAGTCAGAACACACAGGCACCCCGTGCTGCTCAACAGGCAGGGCTCTGGGTTTCCAAGAGCATCTGTGGGAATCTCAGGTCACTGGAACTTTATACCAGTTCCCAGCTGGATAATGAACCACTGAGCAAAGCACTAATTAATGAGCTGGGATGTTTACTGGCCAGAACAAGAGGAGTAACAGTGATACAAGAGCAGATTTCCACTTGTTGATCCACGGCCTTGCCTTGAGGTCCGTGGGGGGCAAGGATGCCACACACTTTGCTGCCTGTTGTCACTGGGGGAGAGGAGCTCCAACCCCCCCATACAGGAATCATTAGTCAGGAATGTTCCCCTCT